TAATAATAATAATAACAATGATAACAATAATAATAATAATAATAATAATAATAATAATAATAATAATAATGATAATAATCATAATAATCATAATGACGGTAATGATTATACTACCAATAGTAGTAGTAGTAATAATAATAATAGTTATGATAATAATTATGATAATAATAATAATAATAATAATAATAATAATAATAATAATAATAATAATAATAATAATAATGATAATGATAATAATGGTAATAATAATAACGATAATAATAATAATAATGATGAGGATAATAATGATAATAATAATAATAATAATAATAATAATAATAATAATAATGATAATAACTATAATAATGATGATAATAGGAATAATAATAATAATAATAATAATAATAATAATAATAATAATAATAATAATAACAATAATAATAATAATGATAATGATAATAATGATAATGTTAATAATAATGATAATAATAATAATAATAATGATAACAATAATAGTAACAATAATAATAATAATAACAATAACAATAACAATAATAATAATAATGATAATGATAATGATAACGATAATGATAATGATAATGATAATGATAATGATAACAATAATAATAATAATGATAATAATAACAATAATAGTAATAATAATAATAATAATAATAATAATAATAATAGTAATAATAATAATAATAATCGCAACGTCACTCCTTAGTTTTCCTGGATTCTCGTCTCGCAGTCTAAAAACCTGCTTATTACATTTCTAAAGTTTTAATCTGCCCTCATCCAGTCTTAATCTACCCAAGGTCCGTAATAATCTACTCTCATCAACTTTCATATTAATAGTTTTATGATTCATATCATCCGCGTGAAAAATATATATATATATATATAAATAAAGTAACGGCAGCGTAGCCATGGGAGTGATAATATGATAATAATATAACAGTGAGATATATGCAAATGTGTGTGTGCGTGTGTTTATATATATATGTATATATATATATATATATATATATATATATATATATATATATATATATATATATATATATATACATATATATATATATATATATATATATATATATATATATATATATATATATATACATATACACACACACACACACACACACACACACACACACACACACACACACACACACACACACACACACATACACACACACAAACATATATATACATACATATATATATGTATTTCATGCTTTCTATGTACATGATATTGCGAGAAAATGCTATACTGAAAGAACTTAAAAACGGTAAACTTTGGCCCTTATGAGGTTTCTGTTGAAGTGCACTTTCCTTGTATAACCCCCATCGGCAGCCTGCAAGCATTCCTTCACTTAGAAAACTCTGGTATCGATGCTCCGTCAACGAGATTTCTGACGATGGCGACTTTCCCTGTACGCCGTGCCCTGCCCCAGGGCCCTCCTCGGCGGTGTGGAAAAATGACGCCATAGACGCTTTAAACGACTTTTAACGCCAGTTTCAGATGATGGAGATCTCGTTAAAAAATCATCATAAAGTATTCTGGAGGTATCCCAGGCCTCCAACTCAGGTTTGTTCACTGTACAATTTGAATCTTTCAAGAGTACATATGAAGATGCCTCCTTTCAACTTTGTGCCTCCACACGCAAACCCTCGTGTGTTTCTTTTCGGCAAGTGTCTTTACGAACGGTTCTTCCTCTCGGTGAAGAGAGGAAGAACAACATTTTCTGGTCCCACGGGAGCCTTATTCCGGACGCAAGAAGCCCTTGGCGAAGGCTATCCATATCCCTCATACCCATAAAAAAGAAACAATGCCGCATGTATCCGGTCGGCATTCCTATCAGCATTCCAATCCCTCTCAAGTCCTCCCCCCCCCCCCCCTATTCTCCAGATCTAGTTCTCGTGCTACGTAACTTCTAAGACACAACACAACACTTCCTCTACATTGAGTGTCTCACAGGAATGGATACTTTCACATCCCCACTGTACACGAGCTGTTTTGAAACTTGGATGGATCAGTGAACAAGTGCCATTCAGACGGAACAGACTGCTTCAGTTGACAGCTAATCAACAAAATGAAGCGGCACATCAGAGCAGAAGTTAGAAGGCAGATTCCTCTTTCCGAAATCCGAAATCGCTCCTTTTGTGCTCGACATTCTCAACTTTAGAGTCACTCTATATTGAAAAAAAGAAAATGTGTTATATCTTCATGATCTGCCACAGCTCCTGCCTGATAAGTGGCTCTCATTATTATGAAGATGCTTGCGAATGCTAAATGGTATCGATAACAGTAGCTAATATAGTAATGACACTGGTAATAACAATAAGAAAAACAACCATGGTAGTTATGACAATAATAGTTATTTCAATAATAATGAGTAGAAGAAAAAGAAGAAGAAGTAGAAAAAAGAAGAAGAAGAAAAGAAGAAGCAGAAAGAAGAATGAGAAGAAAAAAAGGAAAGAAAGAAGTGTGAATGAGAAGGAGAAAGTAAGA